TTACTTATTTTTTGAGACAGGGTCTTCCTATAGCCCCAGCTAGCCTGGCACTCACTATATAGACCAGGCTGGCCTCGAACTCACATAGATCCACCTGCCTCTGCCTCCTGCGTGCTGGGATTAAAGACATGCTCCACCATGACTGGCAAAATGGATCAGTTTTATGCTTAGTGATTTTAGTTTTGTTTTGCAGTGCTGGGGATTAAATCCGGGGCCCCATGCATCCTGAGCACAGAGTCTGCCTTGAACTGTACCCCTGCTCTGTGAAAGCATTTGAAAAGTCTTTAGAGTCTTTCTTTTGTTTTGTGTGCCTGTATGTGCACGTGTGCTTGCCACAGCCACATCTGGAAGTCCAAGGACAACTTGCTGAGTCAGCTGGTTCTCTTTCTACCATGGGTTCAGACCTGGCAGCAAATGCCTTTACCTACTGAGTCATCTTACCAGCTCCCCCTCCCCCTTTTTGACTCAGGATCAAGTAATAGCCTAGAATTCCCTGGATAGCCCAGGCTGCCTCCAACTTCCAGAAATCCTCCTATTTCAGCCTCCTAAATACTGGGATTACAGGTTTAAGCCCCATACCTGGCTTTTAGTACTGGGTCTAAATTTCCTCTTTTGTTGGGATGTGGGGCGAAGTTAAAGATGATTATATGTATGTAAGGACCAGTGAGATGGCTGATGGGTAAAGGTGCTTGCCTCCAAGCCTGCTGACCTGATTCCAATACCCAGGGGACAACCAACTCCTTCAAGTTGTCCTCTGACTAAATAAATGTTTTTTTTTAAATGCACATAACTAGCCAGGCATGGTAGTACACACCTTTAATCCTAGCACTCAGGAGGCTGAGGCTGGCAAATTTCTTGTGAGTTCAAGGCCACAACTCACAAGGCCTACATAGTGAGTTTCAGGCCATCTAGGGCTACAGGGAGACCCTGTCTCAAAAAGACAAAAAAAAAAAAAATTTTACATAGCTCTTTTTTTCTTTCTGTCTTTTTGAGGCAGGGTCTCCCTATAGCCCCCAGCTGACCTGGAACTCACTATGTAGACCAGGCTGGCCTTGAATTCACAGAGATCCTCCTGCCTCTGCCTCCCAAGTGCTGGGATTAAAAGCATGTGCCACCACACCTGGCTCTTTTTTCTTTTCTCTCTCTCTTTAATATTTTATTATTTTTATTTTGTGTGTATGAGTGTATTGCCTGCATGTATGTGAGTGCACCCGTGTCGTGCAATGCCACGGAGGTCAGAAGAGAGCTTTGGATTCCCCTGGAACTGGAGTTAAGGACTGTTCATAGCCGCCATGTGGGTGCTGGGAATTGAACCTGGGTCCTCCACAAGAGCACCCAGTGCTCTTAATCGCTGAGCCACCTTTCCAGCCCCTCTTTTTTTCTTTTTTGAGACAATCTTGCTGTGCACCCAGGCTGGCCTCAAACTCACTTTTGTAAAACAAGCTTGCCGCCAATTTGTAAACCTGTCTCTGCCTTCCAGGTGCTGGGATTAGTGTGTGCCACTATGCCAGGCCGGTGGTGCTCCTTAAGACTTTTATTGTGGTAGGGACGTTAGTGTAGCACTTTGAATACCTGATGTATATAGTTCCTAGACAGTAAGGATCTTCACAGTGTTGGACCCTTTTCACTGTCAGTCTGTCCAGTGCTGCTGTTATGTTGCCCCCCTCCAGCTCTGCCAGCTGCCCCTCCTGTTCCCCCACACACACTCCACCCCCGTCTCTGCCAGCTGCCTCGGCCTGGCCCGTCATCC